TGGCTCGGCGTACCCCCCCTACCCCCCCCCCCCCCCACACACACACCAAACTCCCAAAGGAAGCCTTCTTCACCTTCCACCCAAGCTGCGCGAACTAAAACACAAATGCATATAACTTTCTAGGAAAATTTTCCATTTGAATTACAAATGATTTGCCAGTATAATCATAGACATTGGTAAGCCACTTTGCTTTTAGGTAACAAAACAAAAGAATAACCCCATTATCAACTATGTGCCTTGAAATAGGAAGAATAATTATTTTAATCTCTAAATTTGCAAGTTGGTACTACTTGGAGGATGGGAGAGCCAAATTGCATGTAGGTGGAAAAATGCTAAATTACAATGTCCCACATGTTAAAAAGCATGCAAAAAGCCATCATTAAAGGCACAAACCAATAGAGAAAAAGCTACATCATTATTAGTAGGGAAAAAAGGTTGCATTCTTGATTAATTTGCAGTCTTTTTATGTCTATATGATAGTGTATCAAGAAAGTTGAGGTGCTTCTCTTTGTTCTTGAGGTCTGGTGTTGAGAACATTTTTTATCAAAAAAAGATTAATGGGGTTGGTTTCATTGCATCAACATTCAATTCCATCAAGAGAATTCCTACATATTTTTAGGGATTTTTATAGAAATAGCCAGTCGGATTCACAGTTTATTTTTTCTAGCAGATACATATAGGTTATACACTTATTATACATAGTTATACACATATCACACATGATATATACATATATTATACATAAGCTGGCTATTTTTAGTTTAAGCGGTTAGGTGCACGGCTATTTAGGTTAATTCTTTCTTCTTAATATTAGAAAAACAGCATTTCCTTTCTCTTAAAGATTGAAGATCCAAGATAGAGAAATTCTGCAAATATCTTTATGATAAACTAGTAATTTTAAAATAAAAAAAAACAAGGCGTTCTCGTGCACAAAGTATCTCACGTTCACTTAGGGTCTAGAGAAAGGCCGCACCCAAGGGATGTAATATAAGCAGCCTACCGTGATGCAAGCATCAATAGCTTATTTCATGACTCAAACTCGTGACCGATAGGTCCCATGTAGACAACTTGACAGTTGCCCCAAGGGTCCCCTTCCAAAAATAGTAATTTAAGAATAAAAATAAAAATTTGAGGTTTAGTAATGACTTAAGAAATGGAAGGCACTAAAGATTTTGAATTTATCTACTTTCATTTTATTTCCCTCCTATCTTTTTGGTTTCCCACCTGGTGTCCGGTACCCGCATTGGAGCCGGACTATATCCGGATTCGCGCCGCGTAGAGCCCCATTCGGTGGGAAACGCTCCCTACCAAGGATTTTTCTCGAACCCGAGACCTCTGGTTAAGGGAAGAGCAGTCCCATTCACTGCACCACATCCTTTGGTGGTTATTTCCCTCCTATCTCTCCTTACCTAACTAGTTAAAATAACAGATAAAAGGCTTGGCAGCAAGTATATTGATATAGGAGCATTAACCTTGCTTTTCTGTTATAATCCAGATTATGGAGTACGAGAACTCATGGTTTCTTTGTCAAACTAGCTATTTTATATATGTATTTTCTCGAATTTGTATAATAATAAATACTCCAAAAAGTTGAATGATGCATTTGTTTGAATATTAAGTTATTTACCCGTAGGAATAAGGATCGATTCCCACTTAATTAGTACTACTTTTTGTCTTTTTCTTTTTTTTAATGGTACACCTACGTCTGTGAACACAATGGTTTCTGACAAGTCCTAGTCAATATAATGTTTTGATGTCACTAAGGCAAAATTTTCTTTAAATTTTGACCAAACTAATGAAAACAACCACAACAACAACAACAACAAACTCAGTGAAATTTCACAAGTAGGGTCTAGGGAGAATAGTAATTGCGCAAATCTTACCCCTACCTTACGAAGATAGAGAGGTTGTTTCTGATAGACCATCGGCTCAGAAACAGAAAAGAGAGCAATAAACAAACAATAGCAACAACAATATAATATGTACAAAGAAAGCAAATGGCCAAGTAATACTAACAAAGATTTAGGCACAGGAAAATACAAGAATAATGACAATGTGGTGTACTATAACTCAGTCAATGGCACAGATAAGTGAGAAAGGAAGGTTCTTTGGTTGTGAAACAACAAAAGTAGCTGCTTTCCATTTAGTTTAAGGCTAGAAAGAAAGTGGATATATAATTGAAGCTTATCCATCTGAATCTTGGTAAAACTTTCAGGTATATATGGATGTGAGATATATAAAGGTTTTCTTGAAGTTTTGAATCATAGAACAAAATAACCATTTCTTTTTACTGCTTGTACTTAAGGGGGGGGGGGGGTGGGTTTTTTTATTTTTTTATTTTTCAAAACTCTTTTTCATGCAAATTGGAGGGGGGAAATGCCATGTGGTAAGCTCAGAGATCTGCACATGGCTTTCTCAAATTTCTAAGTATTTGAAACAGTAGTAGGAGAGTGAGGAAGCTGTAGTTTTTTAGTATTTCAAGAGAATCAGTTACAGAGGAAGACCACTAGATTGGTGTTTAAAAAAAAACAAATAAATAACACTTCTCTAGGTATAGTTGGGAAATGTGAGTCAATGAAGAGGGAAACAGCCCAGCAATTCAATTCCTTGTTTGAAAAATTCTCATTATTTAAACCTGCATAGTCTATTCTCATCTTCCATTTTTATCTTCTTGTTTTGGTAGTTTTCCCTTCATTTACTGCCTCTTTTACTATGTTTTTTTGCATTTCACAGCTGAAAAAACTATGCTGTATTTGCTATCTTGATCTAAGTTTCACTATCTACTCTGTTCAATCATCTTGTTAATGTCTAAGTTTCTTGTATTCATTACTACATTCATAAAAATCACAGCTTTTTCAAGAAAAGAGAAGAAAGTTCCAATCTTTTTCTTTGCCTTTATCCAATAAACTTTTACAAGTGTCACCTTATTGGATATTATAACTTTCCTACTTTTCCTTTTGTTTCCCTTATTTGTATTGTTAAAATCTTGAGAACTTCATACCAAAATGTCTTCTTCTATGTCTCTACTCAGAAACTCAATACCACTGATTTCTATTCTGGTTCCACCATACTTGTTATTTGCCAGTTTTTCAGGATATGGGGTTCTTTCTATTTCTATCACAACTTCAGTTTTAATTGTATCTACTTTAGCTTTCACATTTTCAAAACAAAAGCATAGTATCCAAAAGAAATCAGTCCAAGAAATAGAACAACAAGAACAAGAAGCAGTTTCCAAGAGTCAGCTAGAGGAACAAACATCTCAAGTTAACCATATTGTCTCAGACCAACAACCTCAAAATGGAAACTTTGGACAAGTTGAGGAAGTTTTAGAAGTTCAAAAACCTGGAAATGAAAATGGGGTTGCTCAAATTCTTGATTTATATTCAGAAAGTTCAAGTCTTGGTAGGCATTCATCTTCAAGTGAAGATTCTGATATTGATTGGCCATTCTCAGGTGAGCTAGAACACAGTCCATTATGTTCAGATGGTTCAATTTCTGATGAGGAAAGTCTAATTGAAATAGCATTACCAAGTGGCCAATTTGTAAAAGATCCTCCTAAGTTATCTTTTCAGCAGTATAACCAAAAGGTATTTGCAGATTTAGCCCCAAAATCTATCTTTCAACAACATTGTCTTATGGATTTCTTGGCAGATATAAGTGATGTGTATGAAGAAGACAATTTGATTGAGATTGATATATCCATTGGATCCATCAAATGTTCTGGATTTGAAATTCCAGCATAAGTTAGAAGGGGAGCTTTGGAGCAACGGTAAAGCCGTCTCCGTGTGACCTATAGGTTACAGGTTCAAGCTGTGAAAGTAGCCACAAATGCTTGCATTACGATTGGCTGTCTACGTCACACCCCTCGGAATGCGATTCTTCCCCGACCCTACGTGAACACAGAATACTTTGTATACCGGACAGCTGATTTTAACTTATTAAATTATCTTATGCCTAGTTTTTTTAAGTTTTTTGATCCTTATGGATTTTGTGCTTACTTTAAGAATTAAGGCAATAGGGTTTACAAGAATATAGGAGCCAAAATTTACTTTTTCTTTTGTTGTGAAAAGTGAAGTTTGTGTTTGCTATTACATTGACTTTGACCCCACCTAAAAGAGACTTTGGATACCAATTAGAGCTGCAGTTGTATTGTGGGTGGTCATTTGTTTTCTCTTAATGCACATTAAAGTGTTATTAAAAGTTTAAAAGGATCTTATTCCTAGGCCATTAATAAATAAGATTATTCTATTTGCATTTGTTTATGTCTTAATCTTCTTTTTGTTGTCCTTTGGCCTTATCTAATTATTCCATTTGTTGAATCACATCTCAGTCTTAAGATCTAATCACATGTTTTGATCCATTTCTTGAATTCCATTTTGATATTTACCAAAGCAATAGAACTGATTCAGGTTAGCTGCAAAAATCGTAATAACTTTATTTAGGTGTCTCTTGGCCATAAATAATACTCTTGTATATTAGTATTTGCAAATACTGGTTTGGCCATCTGTAGTTAGAGATACTGAATAGTAATATTTTAAAAAATAATTATTTAAAGAGTATTTCAAATGAATAGCTTTTCTTGAAATGAAATTATATCTATACACAACTTAACTTCAAAATGCATTTTTCCCCTACAACAAAATATTGTCCAATATAATAGCTTACTTTTAATTTCTCAGATATTCTGCTCCCTTAGGATTTCTTAATGGTAATCTCCTAAGCAGTTCCTTTTTGTAGTAATCTCTTTGGAGCTAATCTCCATAAATTATCCAGAATGATTTGATTATTATTTGATTCTAGAGTAAATTCCATTTAACCCCCCCTAACCTTTAGTGGTTGGGAAACAACACTCTCTCCGCTTTTTGAATGGGAACGATATCCCTGGTGTTAACAACATTGTATGTGTTGATTCATCATATCCTCTCATAGTACATTAATCTTCATGTGAGTAATGAGACGATAGAGGAATGCTGGACGGTATAATCTCAGTGTCTCAATAATAATGCAACGCAAATATGGAATCTTGGTGCGATCATATTTTTTTAGCAATTACTTGTTTCCCACTTTGATGTCAATGTCAGCTATCATTTTATGCAATGCCTTTGGATGAGCTAAAAGAAGCCACATTGCCATTGGATGGTTAGTAGTTGGCTCTACTTTCCGCAACAAAACTGACTTGCAACAGAATAAATATGGCCATATTCGAGTTTAAAAGAAGCTATTTTTAAGTTTAACATACACGATCCACATTTTATAGAAATAATACTTGTTTAGGGTAAAACTGATGAATGACAGGTTGTAGGGTATAAGTCAGCGAATAACTGACATCGGTTGCGAGCATATGACCGGTGTTTTGTGAGTTCCGAAGACATTAGAATTGGGAACAAGAGTTTGAAAATAAGATATTGGTTGAAGAAGGCAGCATTCAAGAAGCGGCCGTTCCAAAGAATCTTTGCATTTATACTCAACCGTTATACAACTATCAAGAGGGGTCTTTATTCATGATAGAATCTGTGTAAAGATCTAGCAGAGAACATGACTGCATGCGATTAAGAAGAAAATCAGTATTGAGAGAAGAGAACGAGAGAGGAGGAAGAAGCTTTCATTATCTGTGTAACTAACTCTGTTAATACAGAGTGTTAGTTATATACAGCTGGTTCACACGAGTCACGTGTGTAGAATAGGTAAAAGGACTAAAATAACATTACTACCACAATTAATATGGCCTACTTTAATACTCCCCCTCAAGCTAGAGGGTGGAAGACATCCAACACTCCAAGCTTGGAAACTAGCGGGTGATGCTGAGCAGCAGACGGACCCGTTGTGAGTAAGTCTGCAAGTTGCAGAGCAGAGGTGACATGGTGTGGTGCAAGCAACCCAGACTTGATTTTCTGTCGCACAAAATGTCAATCTATTTCTATGTGTTTGATGTGTTCATGAAATATGGGATTCTCAGCTATTTGAATAGCTGCCTTGTTGTCACAGAACAATTGGACAGGTTTAGAGATTGGTACCCCCAGTTCTTCAAGAAGGCCAGACAACCAAGTGACTCCTGCTGCCACAGCTGCCATACTTCTATATTCTGCTTCTGCTGAGCTCCTACTAACTGTTTGTTGTTTCTTAGATTTCCATGAGATCAGAGAACTCCCCAATTTGACAATATATCCTGTCACATACCTCCTAGTATTAGGGAAGGCTGCCCAATCTGCATCACAATATGCAGTCAAGCTGTCAAGTTGTCAAGTTGTCAATTGGCTTTGCATGTAGAAGAACTTCTAGACCTGATATACTTGACCACCCTTAAGGCTGCATCCATATGACATTGCTTTGGACGTTGCATGAACTGGTTCAATGTTTGCACTGCAAAGCTAACGTCAGGTCGTGTGATTGTTAAATACAAGAGCTTCCAATCAGCTTCTGATATGCAGTGATGTCTTTTAAGTCTGGATTTCCTAGCTTTCCTACATGATCATCATACTCTGCTGTGGCAAGCTTTTGATTCAACTCCAGAGGTGTTGAAACAGGCTTAGAACCACTCAGACCTACTCCTCAAATCAACTCAAGTGCATATTTTCTTTTGTTTGCAGAATCCCTTTTTGTGATCTGAGGACATCAATACCAAGAAAGTACCTTAGTTCACCCAAATCCTTCACCTTTAATTGGCTTTGTAATGTCTTCTTAGTATTATTGACTAGCTGAGGATTGCTTCTAGTGATCAATAGGTCATCGACATAAACTAGTATGATGACCATATTCGAGCCTTGTTTTTTGCTGAATAGAGAGTGATCAAATGTACTCTGTAGGTAGCAATGTGTGATTAAGGCATCTGTAAGCTTTATGTTCTATTGTCTTGATGCTTGTTTCAACCCATAGGGTGACTTTAGTAGCCTGCAAAACTTCCTCTCCCCCTGTCTATGAAAATCTTATGGTAAGGCCATGTATACTTCTTCATATAAGTCATATTTTAAGAAGGCATTGTTGACATCCATTTTATGCAAATTCCATCCTTTTGCTGCAGCAATACTGATAATGGTTCTAACAAGTACCATTTTTGTCACTGGAGAGAAAGTGTCATGGTAGTCTAGGCCCTCTTTTTGGTTGTAACCTTTAGCCACTAATCTGTCCTTAAACCTTTCTACTTCTCCATTTGCTTTATGTTTTATCTTATAGACCCATTTTGATCCAATGGCCTGCTTCCCTGGTGGCAGATCAACCAACTTCCATGTTTTGTTTTCCTCTAGTGCACTTATCTCTTGCTGCATTGCCTCAACCTACCTGCTATCTTGAGCAGCTTCCTTAAATGAACCAGGTTCAGTGTCTGCTGAGAAGGCCTTCAAATAAGATTGATATCCTACAGTGAGGTTTGCATATGATAGTCCTTGTGAGATTGGATATAGACTGTTGCTTGTGAATTTTCCTTTTGTCACATAATCCTTTAGCTATATAGGTGGTCTAGAGGGTCTTGTTGACTTCCTGACATCAATCACAGCATCTACTTCAAGTGAAATGCCTCCCACTTCTTCAAATGCATCTGAAGCTAAAGGATTGTCACGACCCCGGTTCGCCCTCCGTGAACCATCGTGACGGCACCTAGTCTCTACGACTAGGTAAGCCTAAAAGCGCGGAAAATAAACAACATTCGTGGAAGAAATAACTGAAAACCGAAATAGTGAAATAAAACAGTGTTTGAAATGTCGCTCGGCATACACAATATCAACTCTCAAACTAATAACATTTCCCAAAACCCGGAATCTCATGATCACAAGCTTTGAATGTCTACAAGTATCTAACTCCAGAATATCTAACAAAGAAAGGAAATACAAAAGGGCTAATACTTAAGGGAAGAGTAGAAAGGGACTCTTCGGTCTAAGGACGCGGCAGATATACCTCGGAGTCTCTACAAGCGCCTCGCCTCAAGCGGGATAAGTCTGAGTCGCAGTACCTGGATCTGCACATGAAAAACATGGGCAGGAAGGGCGTGAGTACACCACAACGATACTCAGTAAGTGCCAAGCATAACCTCGGTCGGGTAGTGACGAGGAAGGTCAGGGCCCTACTGAGATTAAATGAAACATAATATATAACGGAATAAGATAAAACAGTACGGTTGAAAGCAAACAGTAAGAATTTAATATAGGGAAATAAGGATAACAACATCTGAAATAGAGACAAAACAATCACAAGGAATACCACTCTTCACAAAGATAATAATCGGGGATCTCTCAGTGTCCCGAGGATCTCTTAGTATCCTCAATATGTGCTGGGGATCTCTTGGTATCCTCAATATACGTGCTGGGGATCTCTTGGTATCCCGAGGATCTCTTGGTATCCTCAATATATGTACTGGGATCTCTTGGTATCCCGAGGATCTCTTGGTATCCTCAATATATGTGCTGGGGATCTCTTGGTATCCCGCACTACAGTCAAGTTCAATATGTGCGCAGGGATCTCCCGGAACACTCATCCGTAGTCCCAAAAAATAAAAGAAAGACAACAATATCAAGGGAAAAATCCACAATTTCATTCAAGAGCGAAACAGTATAAAGTAACACAGTATAATGATAAAGATAACAACAATTACAACAGAGAAAATAACGCAGAAAGAATACAACTCAACACAGAAATGGCAACCGGGGATCTACCAGGATACCTTCCTGTAGCCCCCAAATGTAAATATCCAGCAAACCGGGGATCTACTAGGATATCGTCCTGTAGCCCCCAAATGTAAATGTCCATTGGATATCCCGGGTCTCGTCCCGTAGTCCAACTCATAATGCGCCGGGGATCTACCGAAAATCTCGATCCGTAGTCCCCTAATGTAAATGTGCACGGGGGGATCTACCGGGATATTGCCCGTAGTCCCCAAAGTAAACACACAGCAGCAGCACGAAGAATATTCAATTCAATTCAATTTTCCATACCAAAGTAAAACAAATATTTCTAACCTAGCATGCTGCACAGAATCCAAAGAAGGCAAATTGAGCAAGTAAGGCAATTAAGTCAATTAAACATGCTTCCCTAGGCTAATAGCAGGCTTAAATTACATGCAGTATGAACATGAAAAAAATAATCACATTATAGTTACTTAAAGAAAAACGGATTTTCAACAATTAGCATAAGTACGCACTCGTCACCTCACATATAAGGCATTTAATTTATCAACAACCAAAACCTAAGGGGAGATTCCCCCACACAAGGTTAGACAAGCCACTTACCTCGAACCGGCTCACCATCAACCCGAAAACACGTTCTTGCC